CGTGTCCGACCTCCCCGTGTAGGTGACTACGTCGACCGTGGTTACTACTCCGTAGAGACCGTCACACTTCTTGTTTGCTTGAAGATCCGCTACCCGCAGCGTATCACCATCCTGCGAGGAAACCACGAGTCCCGCCAGATCACGCAAGTCTACGGGTTCTACGACGAGTGCCTGCGCAAATACGGCAACGCCAACGTGTGGAAATACTTCACCGACCTTTTCGACTATCTCCCCCTCACCGCACTCATCGAGAACCAGATTTTCTGCCTGCACGGCGGTCTGAGTCCGTCAATCGACACGCTCGACAACATCCGCTCCCTGGACCGCATCCAGGAGGTGCCGCACGAAGGCCCCATGTGTGATCTGCTGTGGAGTGACCCCGACGATCGATGCGGCTGGGGGATCTCCCCCCGTGGAGCGGGTTATACATTCGGACAGGATATCTCGGAGGCGTTCAATCACAACAACGGCTTGACTCTGGTTGCACGGGCGCACCAGCTGGTAATGGAGGGCTACAACTGGTCGCAGGATAGAAACGTGGTCACGATCTTCTCAGGTATTGCTGTCTGCCCGGCTGGGGTATCGGCATGGATGACGCGGCTAACTTTGGCTTTCTTCCTGCAGCTCCTAATTACTGCTACCGTTGCGGCAACCAAGCCGCAATCATGGAGATTGATGAGCACCTTAAGTATACGTTGTATGTGCTTTCGGGTTGATTCCCCGCCTGCTGCAAGTTGACCGCGCTAACACTGGCCCTCTAGCTTACAATTCGATCCCTGCCCGCGCGCAGGAGAGCCCATGGTCTCGAGGCGCACCCCGGATTACTTCCTGTAATCGGTTTCTTCGTTGTGATAGACATTTTTCCTTTCCACCTCCCCGCTGGCAAAGTTGAGGCTCTTCTTTCGTCGACTTCCTTCGAGAGGACCCCGGGGAGGATCATTCAAATCAAGGGATACAACAGCAGGGACCCGCGGTCTGGCTACACCGTTTGAAGTAATTGTATGTCCGTATTTTCTGGCCCGTGTTGATACCAAATTCATGAAAATAAAAAGACCGTGTTGAAGTCGGTTCTGCTGTTGCTGTTGTCGAGTTTTTAGTCTACTGGTTGGGGATATTATGTGAGTCGTCGATGGGATCGTGGATCCATGTAGGCTTGGAGTAGGTAGGATACAGTCGACTTCTTCTACCACGGCGGCTGCGGTCACAGAAGTTCCGTCCTTTTTTTTTTTTTTTTTTTTTTTTTTTGGGTGTAGGATGCTCTGTAGGACCGTAGAGATATTTACGCAGTAATCTCCCCGATGGCTACAGCGGAAAGTGTAATGCCATACGCTTCGGGCTTCTTGGACCCCCATCATGGACCCCTCCCGCTAGTCAGGTCCTCTGGACTGTGCTGCACATATTCAGCATATCACATATGATCATGACTTTGGGCTAATAAGGTAGTTCCAGGACAAGTTCCAACTTCAAGCTGGAGGTTATGCTACTACAGTGCATGTTACTACACTAGTTACTAACTAAAGAACCGAATGAAGGTCTGAAATGACTAAGCAAGCATTGTCCAATCTGGCAACTACTAAGTCAGGTTCAAAGTACCTTAAAATGGACGGACTCGGCTCGATCACCCCGTGACAGCACCCGTGACAGTACCTCCACCTACTGTAATGATGAAGACGAGCCCACTGCAGTCCCCCTGACTGTCAACCCGACTCCCTCACAATGAACAACACCAGAGCTTAAGATCCGATCAAGCTACTACATGAAATATGACTTAACTAACCACTGCGTATTGTAGCTAACCCTCTAGCACAATCGAGCCATAGTTGAGAGCTCGATCACCGACCTCTCAAGGACCGCATCGCCCTCCACCCCTCCACCCCTCCGCTTCACACCAGATACCGTCCATTCGTTGCGTCCTCCCATTTCCCTAATCAACCCACTACCACCCCGTCCAGATCGACCTTGACATCGCGAATCACGAAGCCGACCCTTTTCGCCTCCTCCCATTCCTGCCGCATCCTCTCCGCCCTAGCGGCGGAGCGCGGCACGAAGCGCACCCGAAAGGGCTTGGGCACGGTATTGGCCCCGTCCTCAAAGCCATCATCAGACACATCGACGGGGAGGGGATGGCGGCCGGCCTCGTCGCGCGCGGGAAGGATGTCAAAGAGCCACACCAGCTTGGCCAGGACGATGAATAGGCTGTTCTCCGCCACATGGAGGCCGGGACAGATGCGCCGCCCTGCGCCGAAGTTGAGGTGGGATTTGTCTTTCGCTTTGTCCGAAGCAGAGGGGTAGGACGACGAAGGCGCCCACGAGGAGCTTTTCAGGTAGCGCGCGGGCTGGAATTCATGGGGGTCCGGGTAGGAGGCGGGATCGTGGTGGATCGCCGGCTGGTTGATCACCACGAAGCAGCCCGCGGGGATGCGCGCCTGCTTGTATTGCACCTCGGCGGTGGTGTAGTGGGCGGTGCCGAACCGGGTGAGAGGCCGGATACGCGCGACCTCGTGGATACAGGCGTGGATGAAGGGCAGTCGGTCGATGTCGTCGAAGGAGGGCGACCGCGTGTCACCCCCGACCACGCGCGAGACTTCGGCGTGGGCTTGGTGGAGAACCGCTGGGTTGGCGGCCAGGTACAGAATGGCTATATTGAGGGCCGAGGCGGAGGTATCCGAACCTGCCTCAATCAGGGCTATTGATTCCGCAAGAAAAGGTTGCTGCGTGTTAGTTTTTGGTGTGCGTAATTGGGCGAGAGGGGGAGGAGCAGCCTGCCCCGGGCCAGACTTACTGCCCGCCAAAAACGCAGCTTGGCTCTCGTCAATCCCATAGCGTTGGGTCTCCGTTTCCATGAAGTGCTTGGCGAAGCATGTTGGCGCGCTGCCCTCGAGGACCTTCTGCCGCAGCTCCTGCCACAGCCCCATCCAGAGGGAATGCTGGCGCTCGTGGAACTTCAGGGCTCGGGCCCGCCACCACTGCAACCACGTGGGCAAGCGGTCCAATTGCGGGATGAGGTCGGTGATGAACGCCCCCGGCGCGGTTGCTTGCGAGAAGTCTTCCATGATCTTATCGACCCGGTGGCAGATCGGGTCGTCCTAACGCAAGAACACCTGTCAGTGGACAACCATATCCTCATGGGGTCCGGTGTAATCACCAACCATTGACGCCACTCGTCGACCATACGTCGAGGTTAAAATGACTGAAGCATGAATAAACAGTCAGCCCGGGGACTTTCGTCCCCACGACCCCACCCCCGGGAAGGAGTGGTGATATGGTAATGGTGACGGGTACCTTATACTCACCTGAGAGGGACATTCGATGGGCTTGCTCTTTGCAGACGACTTCCTCCCCTCCGCTCTGCAGCAGGTCGCTTACCAGCTGTGTGGCTTCGAATTCCTGACTGGGCCGGAAACTCCGCGCTACGTTCGGGTGCAAGAGCTGGTGCAGGATGGTGCGCAGCCGCCGCCAGTGCGTGTTGTAGGGCATGATGGCGATGCGCCCACCCGAGACAATCGGCGTGGCACCGCGCCACGGGCCCTTGGACGAGGTTTTGGCGGACTGTCGATCGAAGATCTCGCGCACCGCCTCCCGGCTGTTCACGTACACGAAGTCCTCGAAGCCGAACCGGATATGGAAGAGCTCTCCCTGCGTCAGGCCCAGCTCCTCGAGTCGCCGCCCGGGGTTGGGGCCGAGCTGGCTTTTGGCACCGAAGATGGGGTGGCCAAGTGGCTGAGGGATTCCCGACTGACGCCACCGTCCCCTCGCTTGGATAGAAGACCAGATCCAGCGGGCCAGGAAAATGCTTCCGGCAAACAGGAAGGTGAGAAAGATATTGCTCATGGTGTTCTTTTTCTCTATGCTATTCTTATTCTTATCTTGGTATGGACGGGGGAGGAGACGGTAAGCTTGAGTGCAGCGTTGTTGCTTTTGTTATGTCTTTTCGTCCGTCGTAGGGATTGATTGTGATGGGCAGGACAGGTTTAGGTCGGTGTCAAATCTTTTCCTTTTGGATTTCTCTTTTATTTCATCCCATTAATTAATTTGTTTGCCCCTCACCCCTCTTCCTTCCTTTCCTTGTTCTTGGCCATGGACCCTATCGTTCTGCAGAGAATAAGCACGCAGCGGCTACAGATTCTACAGGAATGGTGCCATATTTGTGATCAACTATCAATTAGTGGCAATGAGAGAATTCACACGCCGACCCCACCTCCGGATGAAAAATGGGTAGGATCCTACTAAAATACTGGAGATGGCTCCAGCAATGCACACATTATGTATGGTACTTTTGTCCATACTTCCCCGAGCCATGATTGACTTGGTAACAGGTTATGATTTCTCTCATTATCAGCTCAGGTAGGATTACTTGTAAAGGTACCTAGCCATCATCGTCGCCGCAACACCTGTGCACAACAATGGATTCCCAGGAAGGGTATCGTCAGCGACGAATGCTCCAAAATCGTCTGGCCCAGCGCCGATTTCGTACGAGTGACTTTCTTTCTCCCTTCCTCTCTGCCTCTCGCTTTCGACGAACCCGCTAATTCCAAGAGAGCTTTTCTCTTTCCACAGGGGAGCGTAACCGAGCCGCAAAAAGCGATCGTTCACAGGGCGAGATCGAGGGTATCACTCATTACGACCACTATCCTCAGCTCCACCATAGCCCCGGTGCATCAAGCCCTAATCGCCTGCGCGGCGATAGCAACAACGACAGCAACAGCAACAGCAATCTCGTCTCAGAGCCTCCTCCTCCTCCCTTGAACCTCCACGGCGAGGGCGATGCTGAACTCTGCTCATGCTGGAGCAGGAGGAGTGCTGCTGCCGCGTCATCGCTACTGGAAGCGAAGAAGAGCTCCCCTGGATTCCCCCGTGATCGTGGATATCATCATCACCTGCCGCAGGTGAACGAAGAAGCCATCCAGCTCTCGAATTTCCTCTTTCCTACCGCAACAAACCAGGACAACAACAACAACAATACCGACACCCCTTTAAGTTTACACATACATCATGGCCAGCTACTGCAGGCCGAACACGCGCTCGCAATCGTCCAGAAACAACGGGACCGACTCGGCGCGCAGGGCAGGGCACTCCTCCGACAGCTTTCCGAGGTGTATGCGATTGGGGTGTCCCTGGATATCTTCATTGCGAGCGAGGCGTTTCAGGTTCATCTGCTGGGGGCGGAGAGGGCTTTTGCTGCGCTAAGTGAGTGATTTTCTTTTCTTTTCTTTTCTCTTCTTTTCTTTGGGGGGGGTGAAGTACTTTTCGACTGTATCTTTGGGTCAATTATCTGTAGTAGTTCAGTATGGGTACTACTACGGAGTACTGTACAGTAATTACCAGGTACTACATGGAAGACTAGGTACGTTAGGTAGTAGGTACCCGGCTACTACTGCTTTTTCCGGTAAAACGGTCTGTAACTACCTAGTACCTACTGTAACCTGCCGCTTTGACCTTGAAGTAGTTGTTGACTCAGTCTATCTACTCTTAAAAACGGATACCTCAAGCATCCACTGCCACCAGCTTCATCTCCGTCGCCACTCGCTATTCGTCTGGCGGAAGGCGAATGAGTCAAGACCTGCCTAGAGAGGAAGTAATCCATGTAAGCAAATGTTTTGTTTTCGTTCCCCAACTGAGGCCTTTGAAGACTGAAAGCTCACCCGAGTCATATTCTCAGTAAAGGCCTCCTCGAAAGATCACCCAAGTGGCAAGGAGAGTAAACCTGGTTTCATCGACGAGTGGATCGATCTTAAGCGAATGTACGAATCAAAAAGCAACAATAGATTAAGCTCGAGGTATCACCAAGAGGGGAAGCTTACATCGTCATCCCAATGATGGGGCCGAGCCACAGACCCACCAGACCGCCTTTCAACAGTAAGCCCGCGACGAACGAAGTGGGGATTGCAATCTGGACGTTCAAGGAAGAGGTAGACGTCAACTAACTGGAACCGATCAACGGAGCCACAACGAATGAGGAGGGATTGAGAGCTAGCTCACCGTATAGTGACAGACCAGAGACAGAACTCCGGCAGTCTGCTGCATCTGGAGTCCCTTCATTACCCCATTGGCCCACTCCGCGGTAGCATAGACGATCTGCAGGAGCGCGCAGAAGGGCATGGTCCGCACCACCAGGGTCTGCACCTCGACCGAAGTGCACAACTGCCGGGAGATCCAGTACCGCCCCGTCAGGAGCACGCTGAGGTTGAGCAGTGCCACCACGACCGCGGTCGTCAGCGCGACGCGCATGTGTAGCTGGGCACGACGCGGGCGATTCTGGCCCATTAGCGTCGCCACACGCAGCGTCGTCGCGCTCGCAATCGCAAAGGTGAGCTGCAGCGCCACAGCCACCGTCCCATTGAGCACGCTCTGCGCCGCCAGCCGCGTCGCATCCAGCTTCCCCGCCCCGACCGTCAGCAGCTCGAATGTCAGATACTCCGCCAGCACCGTGATCGAGCCCGGCAGCGCGAGGCGGAGTAGCCTCGGCCAATGTGCCCCCGCGCGGGGCAATGAATTTGGAGACGATGACGAAGAGGCGGAGTCATCGTCGTCATGCCAACATCGGCTGATGGGACGGAGGTATGTGGCATGGGCCAGAAGACCTGCCCCAAGCATGGTGTCTGACAGTGCTGCAGAGACCGGCGCCCCGACAAATCCCCACTGCAGCCGATAGACAAACCACCAATGCAACGCGAGATTGACCGGGACCGCACAACAGAGGACCACAATTGGCGGGTGGAAGATCCCCTGGCTCTGCAGGAAGCGCTTGCCGGCCTCGAATCCTGCATGGCCCGGCAGGCTCAGCAACGAGACCCGGAGGTACTGCGAGGTGAGAGCGGCGATTTTCGGCGACACCATCGTCCGCAAGATGGATTGACTATGCCACCATCCCAGGCCCACCGGGCAGCTCACGATCGTCAGAAGCATGAGCGTCATCTTCAGATACAGGGTGGCCAGATCCCACCGCCGCATCCCGTAGGCGAGGGCCCCGAGGGTGTCCAGCCCGGAACACAGTCCTTGATAGACCCCGTATGCGGTGATGTTGGTGATACTAGCCCCGAGGCTGACAGCCCCGAGCTCGTCGATCCCGAGTCGACCCACAAAGAGGAGCCCCGCAAAGGGAAGAGAAAATTGAAGGTAGGACACTAGAACCAGCGAGGTTGACGAACGGACCAATGTGAGGGTCTCTTCGGCCGCGTTCCCTGTAGCTGGTGGGCCGTCATTTTCGAGGAGTGGAGTGGTTTCTCGTGCCATGAATTGAGGGTATAGGTATAGTCAGTCGGTACTAGGTGTAGTACTATAGCAAGCGCCGTAGATTGCTTGAAGAGCTGACGCTAACTATATAGTATAGTCTGGAGGCCTTTTCTTTGTGGCCCACTGGAGATTGAACACGTTCACCCTGGCGTCCAATCGATCGGACTTGTACTATGTAAAAGAGAGAGGGCCAAGCAATACCTAGTACCACTCTGCGAGGCGAAAACGCTTGCCACCGCGCTAGCGTCTCCTCGAATTCGACGACTGTTTCATAGGTACCATGCATGATGACATGCAGGGGTCAGGCTGACCTGTAATCATACATGATGACTTATAGTGCTAGGTTCCTATCTTATACCTCGGAGTCCGAGCCAGATATCCGCCGCTGACTAGGTACTGGGTGAGGGCATTAACGTTACCTTGGCAGTATCCACCACCAACCACTACTCAGGGCTAAGTTACCACCTCCCGAGTCCATCTCCTCTTCTCCTTCTTCTCCTTCTTCTTCTTCTTCTTCTTCTCCTCTTCCTGCCCGATGATTTCGCGATCATTGGTCGAAAGCTTATCACTGCCTAAAAGCTTGCTCAAAAGCTTGCTTTGGTCACTCCGATAGTCTTATCAGTACCACCGGTATCCAATCATGCATGTTACAGATTGCATCAGCATGCCCTGGTCTCCGGGGTAAGCCCTACGCTGTACCTCACCCGAGTCGGAGAGGCCGGTCACTCCCCTCCCCTTCACTCCCCTTCACTCCCCTTCACTTCGCACTCCTCTCTTCTCACTGGAAAATCATTTTCATTCTCCCGTATTCGTCCCCCCAACCCCCCTTTCCCCTCCCCTGCAGAGCTCAGTTGCTGAAACAGTAATCAGTATCAATTCCATGGATCGACCCCAGGTTTCCCCAATGCCCATCGCGGACACCACCCCGCAAACGACTCTGCATAATCCAGAAAAGAGCCAAGACGTCTCCCAAGCACGCTCTGACACCCTGTCGGAACAGGAACAGGAAGGGGAGGAGGAGGAGGCGGGCACTTACGCACAAGGTCTGCCATTGCTCCTGATCTATTTGTCTCTCTGCCTCTGTGTGATTCTGGTCGGATTGGTATGCCCCATAGAGCTGCTCGTGGCCTTCGAGCCTGGATTAACCCTGGAAGACTGACAAAGCCCCTCTCGGTTTGTACAGGATGCAACCATTTTGACCACCGCCATTCCCAGCATCACCGACGAGTTTGGTTCCGTGCAAGATGTCGGCTGGTATGATGCTGCCTTTCGGCTCACGTCGTGCATGTCACAGCTCTCGCAGGGCAAGCTGTACGATAACTACTCGCTCAAATGGGTCTTCCTTCTCAACATGATACTCTTCGAGGCCGGCATTCTGGTTTCCGGCCTGGCTCCCAGCTCGCTGGTGTTTATCGTCGGACGAGCCATCACGGGTCTCGGCTTTTCGGGCATCAGCCAAGGTTGTATGGTGTAAGTGTCCGGCTGAATTCCCAACCTCAATTGAAGGGAATACGTGCATTGACATGATGGGGGGTTGATTTTCTCGAAAGCATCGTGGCCATGTCCACTCCTTTGCGGAAACGGGCCACCTTCCTCGGCCTGATCAGCGCCAGCGAGTACACCGCAATGGCCGCGGCGCCCATCATCGGGGGCGCATTGACCTCCACTCTCTCCTGGCGGTGGTGTTTCTACATCAATCTCCCGGCGGCTGCGGCCCCGGCCGCCATGATCCTGCTGCTGAAGCTCCCCCAGATGCCCTCGGGCAGTCGGAAATCGCAGGTCGAGCGCTTGCGAGAGCTGGATCTCCTGGGGTGTTTCTTCTTTGCCCCCGCCGTCCTTTGTCTCCTCCTCGCCTTGCAATGGGGCGGAGAGACGTACAGCTGGGACAATTCGCGCATCATTGCGCTCCTCGTGCTCGCTCCCATCGTCTTCGCGGTTTTCTGCTTTATTCAACACTGGAAGCAGGATAGCGCGATGCTGCCTCCACGAATCATCAAGAAACGCGTCATCCTCGCGGGGGCGCTCTTCAGTCTCTCGCTCTCGGCGTGTCGCGCGATTGTGCAATACTATGTAAGATCCCCTTCAAACGCTGCCATGGCCTTCTTTGAGTGGGATTCCAAACTAACGGAAGCGCGGGAGCGGTGGTGGGTATTGTAGCTGGCGATATGGTTCCAGACCGTTCGGGGGGCCACTGCCTTGCAGTCGGGCATCTACACCTTGCCCCTGGTGATCGCCATTCTCGTGTCGGCGATGGTGGCGGGTCGCTTCATGTCGGCGACCGGGATCTATACCCCGATCATGATTCCGGCTGGCCTGCTGGTCGTGGCTGGGATCGCCATGATGACGCGCTTCTCGACGACCACCCCCAAGGGGCTGTGGATCCCTTCGTTGATTCTGTTGGGGATCGGATCGGGCAGTAGCGTGTCCATCCCCTTCATCGCGGCGCAGGCGGTGTTGAGCCTCGGTGATCTCTCCGCCGGCATGGCCTTGATGACCTTCTCCCAAGATCTGGGCGAGGCCGTCTTCATCAGCATTGCGCAGGCGGTTTTTCTCAACCGCCTCAGCAGCTCCCTGCAGGTCACAGCGCCCGACCTCGACCCGGAAAGCGTGATCCATCTGGGCGCAACTAATCTGCAGGGGAAGATCCCTTCGCAAGACGTCGCAGCCGTGGCCTTCTCATATAACCTGGCCGTGCGCTCGACCTTCTATTTGGCAGTCGCTTTGGCTGGGCTGCTGGTCATTACCGCCATACCCCTTCAAAAAACGACGCTAATGGGCGGGAGAAGGTCCAGTAGTTAGCTCTACCTCCTTGGCTATGGCTGAACAGAGTTGAAGGGGGGTATGTATGGTTTGCTTTCCTCTCAGACAGACACCCATGGATTGAAGTGCTGGGCAGTGAAGAACTTCAGCAGCAAGTGTCCTGTCGCGGCGGGGGAGTAATTCTCAGGAAATAAGGGCTGCTACACTGTGGCTGCGAAGGAACCCATGGCTTTCAAATGTTCAAACTCTGGAGCTTCGGAGTAGATACTACTGTAGTAGAAATCATAGCACTGCAAAGGCACAGAGGCAGCCCGCCTGTTGGATCAGGTGGTCTGCCCACCGCCTTTGGTCTCTTTGTTTTCTGCCACAGGCTCTTTCTTGTAGATGCGCCAGCTTCACTACCAAAGTTCTCCATCACCCTGAATTCATCTATTTTCGCACTTCCAGCAATTCTACCTCTAACGCCTTGAAGCAGCAACATTCCTGAGCCAGTGGACAGGTTCCAAAGTGCACTATCTATCGTCACTCGTGCCATTTCTTGATTCGGTTCCTACTCTAGCTGTCGCTTCTCCCCGCTTCGGCACAGCCAGCAACCGAAGTGAGAGGACCGCGGAGCCTGTCCGGGAGCAGTAAGCCCCCTGTAACACCGACTATGAGCTTACCGTCTAGTCTGATATCATGTCAGGATCTGCAAGCATGAACTTGAAGCTGAGGGGCTTGAGGGAAGGGGAGGTTGTAAGCTTACCGCGCATTAGATTCGTGCTCGGTGGGTCGGCATCAACCAATCCTCCCCGTTGAGCTATATCGTCGTGTCCTAAATCTATCACGACATTACCCTCCTTGAGCCGCGATGAGCTCACCAACCTTTAAAGCCAAGGGGAGGGATAAAGCCATATCCCCCCTGCGCAGCTGAAAAGCAAAGCTCACTTGCATCAAGACAGACCCAGACCATACAGCCCTTCCACAATGGCTCCCTCTTTGTCTTTCCCATTACCCAGTGATATCACACAGCAGCAATGGAAGTCTTTCGCTATTGAACACAAGCTGGGCCAGTCAGCATTGCATGAGTCATGTCAATCCCACCAGATCGCACCAGAACAGCTCTTTCAGGCGGCGTGGGCCACCGTCGTGGCCGCCTACGACCACGATGAAGATGTCTACGCAGACATCACAGTGCGGGGACAAGGGGCTTCGAAAGCCTGCCTATGTCACTTCACCGTCACGCCGTCTCAGTCGATTCGGGATGTTCTCACAACGGTGACTGCCACCGACGGTGGCATCCCACCGAGCCCCGGTCACTGGAGCTCACTTGAGTATGTGCATTCGGGATCGGATGTGGCCCCGACCAAGCGCCCCCGACGTGAGGAGCATATCACGATGCGACTGGTTCTGTGTGAAGATGACAGCACCTTGCGTGTTCAGCATCGCCAGGCAGCTATGGGCTCCGATCGAGCTAGAAGCATGGCACACGGCTTGGTCCAGGTCATCACCCAAGCCATGCACAATCCCGACGTGAAAGTCAAGGATCTCGATTTGATCAGTCAGATAGACCTCAACACCATACTACAGTGGAACGATTACCCACTCCATCTCGTGGACGCTTGTGTGCACGAGATCATTCAGCAACGCGCATGCGAGCGACCGGACTCCCTCGCTATCCGGGCTTGGGACGACGACCTGACGTACAGTCGACTAGACGACCTTGCGTCCCGTCTGGCTTTACATCTCCGGCTCTGTGGCGTCAAAGTCGGAGACGTGGTCCCTTTTCTATTCTCTAAATCTGCTTGGGCAGTGGTAGCCAGCCTGGCCACGCTCAAGGCGGGAGCCGCCGCCGTGGCTTTAAGCCCTGACCACCCCCTCGCGCGGTCTGAGGCTATCATACGCCACACCCAAGCCTCCCATATCCTGGTCTCACGCGAGCACCATGGGCTGGCGGACTCGCTTCGCCTGCGCACTACCATCGTGGTCGCGCGGGACCTGTTCCCTAATCTTCCCGCCAACAGCACGGAGCTGCCTGCAGCTGCGGCGGTCCGCCCCCAAGATCCAGCCTTCATTCAATTCACCTCCGGAAGTACGGGGGAACCGAAAGGGATCATCCTGGAGCACCGGGGCTTTTGCACGAGTGCGGCCGGACAGCAAAAGTCCCAGAATATGACGCAAGCGTCCCGTGTCCTGCAATTCGCGGCGTATACGTTCGACGCCGCGCTGCAGGAAACCTTCACAACCCTGATGGCCGGCGGAGTGGTGTGTATTCCATCCGAGCGAGACCGCACCAGTCGACTCGCTGCGGCGATGCGTGAAATGGAAGTCAACTGGGCTTTCTTCACGCCCACCCTCTGCGCTACACTCCAGCCGAGTAGCGTCCCGTGTCTCCGCACGCTGGTCTTGGGTGGGGAAGCCCCGAGCCCTGAGTTGATACGAACCTGGTCTTCCAGGGTCAGCCTACTGAATGGATACGGCCCTTCGGAATGCTGCATTTGTTGCTCTGTGCATCCCGTGAGCAGCAATGGGTCCGACAGCCCGCTGAACATCGGCGTTGCCATTCCTGGCGTGAAGCTTTGGATCGTGCGTCCAGAGAACCACGCCATTCTGGCGCCCCTCGGCGCGATCGGGGAACTGGTCGCGCAGGGCCCCAACCTGGCGAGAGGTTATCTGGACGCATCCAGCGCTACATCTCTCAATTTTGTGAATGAGGTCCCTTGGTCCACTGACCAGTGCTTCCGTCGGGTGTACAAGACGGGCGACCTCGTTCGGTACCTGGCTGATGGGTCCATCGAATTCGTGGGGCGCAAGGATACCCAGATCAAACTTCGCGGTCAGCGCGTTGAGCCAGGCGAAATCGCCTCCCACGTGCGGACGCACCTTGGACGTTCCGATGTACAAGTCGCTGTGGATGTCGCACCGGTCTCACTGCGAGGAACACCGACCCAGCAGCTGCTTGCCTTCTTCGCCATGCCGCCAGCAGCACTGGAGGGCTCGAAGGTTTCTCTGGATATCGTCCCTCGCCTCCCTCCTCGGTGTGGGAGGCTCACACCTTCCCTCAACGATCAGCTCCTTGCGCTCAAGGACAGTCTGGGCACTACGCTCCCCCGACACATGGTCCCCGCCCTCTTCGTGCCAGTCACCTACCTGCCCGTCAGTCTAGCGGGTAAACTCGATAGGAAAATGCTTCGGGCCCTGGTGGCCGATCTGTCAGAGACGGAGATACTGGAGTATTCATTGGCGTCACCAGGGACACGGCAAGGGGCCCGAGATTCGCGAGAGGCCATTCTCGTCAGGGCCTGGTCGGAGGCTCTACGGGTTCCTCCGCAAGATATCAATGTGACGGACGAGTTCTTCCTTTTGGGTGATTCCATTGCAGCCATTGAGCTAACCACCGTCCTCCGAAGCCGTGGTTTCCATCTGACTGTGGCGGATATCTTCCAGCACCCCCGCTTAGAGTCACAGGCGCTGATTCTGGCGGAACTGGTTGGGGATCAATACCAGGAAGCGAAACCGTTCTCCCTGGTTGAGGGCATAGGAGCGCAAGATCTTGAGGCCATGCTGCGACTTTCCGAGGTCCCGCTTGGGGATCTTGATGACCTTTTACCGAGCACCCGCAGGCAGGAGGCTTTGTTCCTCAGCCAGACGGAACTCCCATCGCGACTGTCGCAGGTGGTCCTCGAGCTCGACCATGCTGTGGGGATCCCCGAATTTCGCTTAGCTTGGTTGGCAGTCGTGAAACGCAGTAGCATCCTGCGGACTCGTTTGGTCGCTGATGGACAGGGAGGCTTGCTGCAAGCCGTTGCCAAACAACTGCCACCCTGGGAGGATATTTCCAGCCTGCATGACCACCTCGCCGACCCACGCTTCAGTGGGCCTTGGCGCAATGGCCAGCCCTTGGTGCACTTTGCGCTTCGACAGGGTGATGATAGGTGTCGGAAAAGTGCCTTTGTCCTGTCAATCCATCCAGCACTGATCGATTGGGTCGCGCTACAATTGCTCCTTGACCAGTTCCAGAACGAATACCGTCAACTAACGGGTGGCCTCGCAGTGCCCTACTCCCGTTACGTGGAGCACCTCACTCAGGCGGACCATGCAGCCTCCGCCATGTTCTGGATGTCGGAACTTTCGGAGCCGAACTACCTCCACTACCCCGATGTCCCCTCCTCCGTTGCCACGGCAGACCAGCTCTCGCGGTCCTCGCTCTCGGCGTCGCTTGATCTTCCCGACCGCTTGGGTGAACTGCGGCCCCTCGACGCCCTGGTCCACCTCGCCTGGGCCGTGGTTCTTTCCTCTCGAACACTCTCGGACGATGTCATCTTTGGGACTGCGCGAGCGAGTCGCCCCGCATCGATAGGCACCCTGGAGGCAGTTATGGGCCCCACGGAAGCCGTCGCGCCCGTTCGTGTGCGGCTCACGAAAACAGACAGTATTCAAGTGGCCGTGGTGGCTCTCCAAGATCAATTGCAGGCAATCACGGTTCATTCTTATCTGAACGGGCCCCAGCTCGCGGGCATTGGGCCAGAGGGAGAGGCGGCCAGTCACTTTCAGAATTTGTTGGTCGTTCATCCAGCGCTGAAAACGCCCCCAGATCTCCTGACCACTATGGAAGGCTATCCACCCTTTCTGGATGCAGGTCGTTACCACCAGTATCCAGTCACGGTGGACTGTACTTTGGCAGCTGCCCAGGTCGAGTTGCGGCTTTCGTTCACAGAAGCGATCGTGTCCCAGGCGGAAGCCCAAGCACTCTTACGGCAGCTGCAGTCTGTTCTGCGCGAGTTGCTGTCACGGCCGGCGGAGACCACGATTCAGAACCTCTCATTGCTGACTGCTGATGATTACGCACAGCTCGTGGCCTGGAACCGCGCGGCACCGCAGCCCGTCCGCGAGACGGCGCATGGCTTGTTTACTGCACGAGCGCAAAGGCAGCCTCAGGCCGTCGCCGTGGAATCATGGGATGGCCGTCTCACCTACGCGGAGCTGGACCGGTATTCCACGCACCTGGGCCGGTATCTGCTGGCAGGTGGGCTTACGCCGGGCCGCGAGGTGGTGACCGTGTGTTACGAGAAGTCGCGGTGGACGCTGGTGGCGATGCTCGGTATTCTCAAGGCAGGCGGCGCCTTCAACCTCATGGACCCCTCGCACCCATCGCCACGACTGAAGTTTATTGCCGACGAAGTGGGCAGTCGCTTCATGCTATGCTCCCCGCGATACGCAACCAAGGCGGCGGGGCTGGCCGCTCACCCGATCATCGTGGACGAGAGCTTCTTCCACGGGGACTTACCAACCAAGCAGTCCGCCGATCTCCCCGCCGTATCACCGGACGCAATCATGTACGTCTTCTACACCTCGGGGTCTACGGGCATGCCCAAGGGCCACCGTACGCCGCATGCCGCCTTCTGCTCGGCCGCCACGGCCCAGGCCCGCGCCCTGGGGCTCTCGTCCACCACACGGAATTTCCAGTTTGCATCCTATGCATACGATGTCTGCATTTCCGATATGCTGACGGGACTGTGTGCCGGCACGTGCGTCTGTGTGCCGTCAGAGGAGGAGCGACTGGGCGATATTGCCGGCGCCATGGCACAGTTGCGCGTCAATTTCGCCAATCTGACCCCGACCGTGGCGCGTCTGTTGGATCCGGACCGAGTGCCGGCGTTACAGACCCTCCTGCTGGGGGGAGAGGCGCTCCAGCAGACCGACCTCGACATGTGGAGTGGGCGTGTGCGATTGATGGCCGGTTATGGGCCCTCCGAGTGCAGTCCGCGGTCAACGGTCAACCCGCACCTGACGGCAGCGTCGAATCCGCGCAACATCGGCTTTGCAAGCCTGTGCAACTGCCGCGCGTGGGTGGTCGAGGTGGCCGATTATCACCGACTCCGGCCGGTCGGGCTCGTCGGCGAGCTGGTCATCGAAGGGCCCAACGTCTGCAACGGGTACCTTGGCCACGCTCAGCAGCGCACGGACTCGGGCTTCATCGACACTCCTCGCTGGTATGCCGAGCTGAGTCCCACCCTCCAACCTGTGGGCCGGTTCTACAAGACGGGCGACCTGGTGCGGTACGACCTGAGTGACGGCAGTCTGATTTTTGTGGGCCGCAATGATGCCCAAGTCAAACTGCATGGCCAGCGCGTGGAGCTGGGCGAGATCGAGTCACATGTTCGCGCTCTGCCGCTCGCGGATCCAACCCCGCAGAGCAGCAGCGACAGCAGCAGCAGCGGAGTCATCTCCAAGGTTGTCGCCGAGTTGGCCCAGCCAGGCGGGCTTGTCAGGACCCCAAGCCTCGTGGTCTTTGTTCAATTCAGCCATCCCCATCGGGGCATTCCCGACGGATGGGCTGCCGCGGTGGCCCAGCACCTGGCTGTCCGCATGTCGGCGGCACTCGTCCCGAAGTACTACGTCGCCCTCGATGAGATTCCGCTCATGTCGTCAGGCAAAGTGAACCGCCGCGCGCTGCAGGCCCTCCCGGCTACTCTCACGGCGGAGCAGCTCGGACTCTCGACCGCTACTCGCAAGGAGAAGCTTCGACCCAGCTCAACAGAGGAGTACCGGCTGTCGCAGCTATGGGCAACAGTCCTGGATGTGCCAGAGGCAGAAACTGGGAGAGACGATCACTTTTTCGAGCTTGGCGGGGACTCAATTGCGGCAATCAAGTTGGTGGAAGAAGCGCGCCGGGCGGGGTTCTTACTCACCGTGGCGGATGTCTTTCAGCACCCGGTGCTTGCTTCAATGGCCACAAAGCTGACCATCCTCGCACCGGCTGCGCCGGGGATGTCGGCCCCAGTGGCGAGCCCTCAGATGACGGCAAGCTTGGCAGATCGTGTCAGTCGCGAATGGAACCTTCCCCGGGACACGATCCAGGATGTGTACCCAGCCACGCCGCTGCAGATGAGCCTGATGGCGCTGACCACGCGCAATCCCAAGACGAACACCTTGCAGCACGTCTACCACCTGTCGGCCGATGTGGATGTGATGCGGTTCCGACGCGCCTGGGAGGCAGTCGTGGCGAGGAACGAGATCTTCCGGACACGGCTGGTCTTCGTCAAGGCGTCGATCCTGCAGGTGGTTCTGGCGGACAGCATTGCCTGGGAAACCACACCCTCGAGTCTGCCAGAGTACTTGTCTCGTGTGGACGATCGACCCTTCAACTACGGCACGCCGCTCATGCGCCTGGGCCTGCTACCGGACGGGCACCGCGGCGGCTCGTACTTTGTGTGGACCGCCCACCACGTCGTCTATGACGGTTGGAGCCACTTCCGCACCTTGCGGCTGATCAAGGAGACATACGAGGCGGACGCGGTGCCATTCTCGATCCCGTTTCGGACGTTCATCGCCTTTCTGCACCAGGCCGGTGAGGACGAGGCGCAGGAGCGGTTCTGGCAGAACGAGCTGGCCGGATTCGAGGGCACGACCTTCCCTCCGCTGCCGCGTGCCGAATACTGGCCGCTCACAGATCGCGGGATTGACCATGTCATTACCCTCTGTTCCAATCTCGCTCCGCAATCCAGTTCCCAGTTCGCCAACATAACGCTCTCCACCATCATCCGAGTTGCTTGGGCGCTGACGGTCGGCATCCAGACCGGGACCGAGGACGTGGTGTTTGGGGCGGTGCAAACGGGCCGTATGGCGCCCCTGGCGGGCGTCGTGGACATCATGGGCCCAACCATCACAGTCGTCCCCGTCCGGGTCCGGTGGGCGCGCAGCCTCACGCTTGGCGATCTCTTGTTGCAGGTCCAGGAACAGGGTACGCGCATGATTCCATATGAGCACGCAGGTGTCAAGGCCATTGCCAATATGGGGGAGGACTGTCGCGTGGCCGCCACCTTCCAGAGCCTGTTGGTGGTGCAGCCGGAGAAGACCGACGGTGCGGCGGCCACGGTAGCCGGCATGCGTCTGGTGCAGGTTACCGACCGCGAATTCCCTAGCTATCTGCTCTCGGTACAGTGCTCGATCCAGCGGAATCAGGTGCGCGTGCATGCCAGTTACGACTCGTCGGTGCTGTCGGGCGAATGGGTGCAGCGTATCGTCGGGCAGTTCGAACGCCTGCTGCATCTTCTCGGCGATCCTCGGAACCTGCCGACGCCGGTGGGTCAGGGGGAGATCATCCCCGCCGCAGATGTGCAGCGGCTCCTCGCTCAAGACGCCGCCACGGCCCTTGATCGCAGCCCGGTGGACGACACAATAGCTTGGGCCATCGAGCGCCAGATGAAGTTGCAGCCGGACGCCCCCGCGCTGTGTGAGGTGGAGGGTCCGGGTATGAGCTACGGGGAGTTGGACCGACTTTCGGCCCGCCTGGCACTCCACCTGCGTACGCTTGGGGTCGGTCCGGAGAAAGTGGTGCCTTTCTGCTTCGACAAGTCTGTTTGGGCCGTGGTGGCCGTCGTGGGCGTGCTGCGGGCGGGCGGCGTCTGCGTGGCACTGGACCCTGGCCACCCCCCGAGCCGGCACGCGCAAATCCTGCAGGAGGTCCAAGCCACTCTGGTACTGACCTCGAACGCGCACCGCGCGCTGTTCAGAGACCAAGGGGTCCCCGTTCTGGCCGTCGACCGGTCTCGGCTGCGCTGGCTGCCTGAAACGGTGATGACAGGGCCGACCTGCCATCCCCAGCTGCGGCCGAACCACGCTGCCTGGGTGGTGTTCACCTCCGGCAGCACGGGGACACCCAAGGGCATCGTGCTGGAGCACGCCTCCATATGTGCCACTGCGCGGGGCAACGCAAGCGCGTTAGGGGTGACGCCTCACACTCGCGTGCTGCAGTTTGCCTCGTTTGCGTTCGACGTGGCGATCGAGGATATGTGTATCACCCTGATGCACGGCGCCTGTCTGTGCATTGCTTCCGAACATGATCGCCTGAACAATCTGGGCCCCACCATGCAGCAGATGCGGGTGACGTGGGCGGATCTGACGCCGTCGGTGGCACGAACCATCGACCCCGAGGCGGTGCCGAGCCTGCAGACGCTGGTGCTGGGAGGGGAGCTGCTAGGCGACGACATCATCAGTAGCTGGGCAAACCGCGTGAACCTCTTCAACACGTACGGCCCTGCCGAATGTGCCATCTACTCCACGACCACGAGCCCCTTGGGGCTCGACGCCCGCGGGGGGAACATTGGCCGTCCCATCGGCTGCGCCTGCTGGGTCGTCGATCCCGACAATCACAACCGCCTGATGCCCGTTGGATGCACGGGGGAGCTCCTGATTGAAGGCCCCAATCTGGCCCGCGGATATCTCCACGACGAAGCTAAAACGCGCAGAGCCTTTGTGCACCCCACCTGGCTGGCCGAGTACCGAGGTGGACAGCGTAGCCGGTGCTACGCCACGGGCGACCTGGTGCAACAGAACCCGGACGGCGCCACCCTCACCTTTGTGGGCCGAAAGGACTCGCAGGTCAAGCTACGTGGCCAGCGGATTGAGCTCGGGGAGATCGAACATCAGATTGCGGTCAGCCTCGCCGGCGAATCCTGGGCCACCGCAGTGGAGATTATCCGGCAGGCGGAACATCGTCAGGATGCCCTGGCGGTCTTCTACTGGCCTACCCAGGCCACCGCCGATGCTCCGGATGCCGCCCCCCGAGTCGTCGACGACGACGCCCTTGAGGCCACGCGAGCCGTCTTCCTGGAGCTCAAGGCGCAGCTGGCCCGGGTTCTGCCAAAGTATATGATTCCCACCTTGTATGTGCCCCTTTCCTTCCCGCCGAGCACGCGGACGGGGAAGTTGGATCGACGGGCGTTGCGCAGCTTGGGAGCCAGCCTCTCGATGGCGCAGGCTACCGCGTTTGCCCTCGAAGGAACCGCCGGCGGCACAGTCGCCAAGGTGCCGCCGCAGACGGAAATGGAACGGGTCCTGCTCGAGCTCTGGGGCACCGTTCTTGACTTGTCGACGGAGCAGATGGGCATCCATGACAGCTTCTTCCAACTTGGCGGGGAGAGCGTCGCGGCCATCCGGCTAGTGGCCGCGGCGCAACGAATGAAGCTCGCCATCACCGTGGCGGACATTTTCCATCGCCCCGTGCTAGCCGACATGGCTGCTTCCCTGCACCCTGAGACGCAACAACAACAACAACAACAGTCCGCCGACGAGATGCTGTCTCCTTCTCCTACCGGTGCCGATCTCACCGCGCGCGTCAGTCGTGCCTGGAAGATTGGTTACGAGAGCATTGAGGACCTCTACCCCTGTACATGGCTGCAGGAAGACATGATCCAGGTGACCCGGCGGGTCTCCGAAGCGAACACCCTGCGCTTCATTGCGCACCTCGACACGGCCACGGTGGATCTGGCGCGGTACCAAGCCGCCTGGCAGCAAGTCGTGACGGAGAACCCGATCCTCCGGACGCGCATTGTTCGTGTAGACGATGACGACGATGATGGCTACGACGCCAGCGACGACAGCTATCGAGCGCTGCAGGTGGTGGTGGACGAGCCGATCCAGTGGTGTACCTCCTACAGCCGGCTGAGCGACTATCTACGCGAGGACCGCTCGACCCGCTTCGACTACGGGACGCCTCTGACGCGGTTTGCCCTAATCCCACATGGGCCGGATGATTATTACTTCGTCTTCACCAGTCACCACGCCACGTACGACGGCTGGAGCGTGCGGCTCGTGCACGAGATGGTGGCGGATCTGTACACCGGCCGCCGCCGTAGCCGCCTTGCCGTGGGCGCCGCCCCTGCCACTACCCCGACGCCCTACAAAGCTTTGGTACAATACATCGTGTCGCTTGAGCAGCAGCAGCAGCAGCAGCAGCAGCAACCCATCCCGACCTACGCCGCCTTCTGGCGCTCGCAACTCCAGGGTTTCAGGAGCAGCACCCAGACGCTTTTCCCGGCGTTCCCCAGCGCAGACTACCGCCCGCTCACCGACAGCGTAATCGAACTCACCCTGCCCCTACCCCCAAAATCCCGGTCCAACAACAAAAACAACACCCCCACCACCAAGGTTGTCACCATCTCGACCCTCCTGCGCGCCGCCTACGCTCTCGTGCTCGCGGCCCAGACGCACACGACGGATATCTGTTTCGGGGCCGTGCAGGCCGGCCGCTCCATCGCGCTGCCGGGGATCTCGGAACTGGTCGGCCCGGCCATCACCCTGGTACCGGTGCGTATCCGGTGGAATGATGCCAGCAGCGCCGGCGGCGGCGGCGGCGGCGGCGGCGGCACGACGGTCCGCAGCTTCCTCGAAACCATCCAGGACCAAAGCACGGCCATGATCCCCTACGAGCACGTCGCCAAGCCGTGCATCGCAGCCCTGGGTCCGGACTGCGCCGCCGCGTCCGCCTACCGGTGCCTGTTGATCGTGCAGCCGGCGTCGTCGCCGGGGCCAGCCTCGGCCATCCACGGCGTCACGCCGATCAAGACCAAGTACCCCGAGTTCCTGGAGTACGGGCTCAGTCTGGAGTGTCGGTTGGCGGCGACGGAAATGGTCGTGCATGCGGACTACGATCGGACG